TGCAGACCCTGAAGATGATCCGAATAAAGGTCGAAACGTTGGCACAAAATGAAAAAGTATTTATCTAAAATACTTCTTTTCTTACCGCTAAATTGTTGTTATAAACCGTTGTATAAATTGGTTTAATTCATGCAGACCCTGAAGATGACCCGAATAAAGGTCGAAACGTTGGCACAAAATGAAAAAGTATTTATCTAAAATACTTAATTTCTGACCACTGAATTGGTGATATAAACTGTTGTGTAAATTGTTGTAATTTATCCAGACCCCGAAGATGACCCGATTAAAGTCTAAATGTCGGCAAAAAAATGAAAAGTGTGTTTATCTAATATTATTAAATATTTCATTCCTGATGGGTTCTCAGTACTTTATGAAATTATTGATCAACCGGTCGCTCATTAACACACATTGTTTGTATTGTTGTAAGTAAATAAAAATAAAAGTGGCAAGAAAATTAACAAATAAGGGAAGTAACATTTACCCGTACAAACTCGGGTTTGTCGAGGGACAATTGACTGTATCGAGTTACTACAAAATTGATTCGAAGTCGAGCTGAACTACCAAACGTTCATTGTTTTAGTATTTGAGTGCTCTCCAAAATTATCTGTTAGATTCATTCAAATTTAGTAAACAGGTGGCTCAATAAACTATCTTAGCTTGGCTTTCACATTTCTATCTTAAATCGGTTAACAAGCTTTCTAATTAATAGACAATATTGTCATAAATAAATGTCAGCTTCATCCTCTCATTTTGAGTCTGCCTGAGGAGTGCCCCAGGGAACTTGTATTGGACCTCTTCTGTTTGTTTGTAATTAACGTTATAATATAAGCTTTTGATGATGTCAAATTTCTACTTACTGAAGATATAAAATTTTGTAGAATAATTCAAAATTTTGGTGATGCTAATCTCCTGCTTGGTTTCAGATTGTTCGGGCACACTGGATATTGCGCCGCTTGCTCTAAAGTCATACCAGCCTTCGAAATGGTCATGAGAGCAAGGAACAACGTGTATCACTTAGAATGCTTTGCTTGCCAACAATGCAACCACAGGTAAAAAAAACACTATACAACCCCATGTACCGTAAGAATAATCAATTTAGAAGAAACGGCGGATTTTCCCGCCACAGATACGCACCTACTGGATCCGTCGGATTCAGTAGCGTGTAGTGGCATCTCGTCTTGGTAATAACACCTCCGTTTTTCAGGCGGAAATCTGAGCCATTAATGTGTGTTGTAGAACACTTACGGAAAATAAAATTAAGGGAAAGGATATTAGAATTTTTTCTGACAGTCAGGCTAGTCTCAGGTCATTACAAAAAAGATTTCTCAACCTCAAGACTGGTGGAGGAAACAGTTGATCGTATCAATAGGATCTCTTCCAGGTTTGAGAACAAGGTAATTCTTATTTGGATACCAGCACATAAAGGACACTATGGCAATGAAGATGCGGATAGCCTGGCCAAAAAAAGGCTCTAATGCTGCGTTTGTCGGGCCACAACCGGTATTACCTCACTATGAGCACAGCGAAAGAGAGTATTAAAAACTGGGGCATAAAACGTTCCTTAAAGAGTGGAATTTATCCCCCGGACACAGGCAATCGAAAAAGTTTGTTAAGGTTATCAAACCAGCAGAATCAAAATGGCTATTCGAGATCTCAAGGAAGGGAATTAGAAGGCTGATAGGTATTCTGACGGGCCACTGCACTAAGAAGACACCTCTCCGTAATGGGTATTCTACCAGATCCCTTTTGCCGTTTTTGCGAAATGAAGAAAGAAACGGCAAGGCACTACCTCTCAGATTGTGATAGGTATGCTATGTCTAGATTTGAAATCTTTGAAGGAGCGGACATCACCAAATCACACCCCGAGATTAAATGGTCCAAAATCTTGGGGTTTGTGAACAAGTCCAAGAGATTTATGAAGGACACGTGAGCCGACCCTGGACCTTTTAGGGAACGGGTACGAGTCTACTCAGGCATTTAACCCCTCGGGTCTTGGTCGCCCACCCAGCATAATATATATACTGGCACTTGTCAGTCGGTGTTAATTTATGGGGTGTGGAGTTGGGAAGAAGATGATGCGCCTGTCCACTCGGACACGATACTACGAACGTCTTGGTGCGCAGTTTCTCAGTTTGCGTCGTTGAAATAGTACCACCGTGGTTAGCAAAGTGCCCACGCCTCAGGCCGCGGACAAGCCTCAATGGTTGATTCCCGACTCCCAGACAGAGAAACTAATAGCGCCGGGTGTCGTCTTGCACGGCACCTCTTCCGTAGATTCAGGCCCGTTCCTCCGTCCCCAAGAACCCGTTGACCGCACTGCGAGGGGGTGCCTGGAGAAGCCTCCTATACTAATACTCGCAAAGATGGTCGATGCTTGGATTAACGCGGACGCTTTGCCCAGCCGCGGTACGTTACCTGTCGGCGCCGGGGCATCTTTTTAAATACAGCATAAACGCGAGCACGTGATTCGTCACGGGGTCTCACAGGCGACGCACTATTACGACCTCGCGCTCGACTCGAGGACCCAGAGAGGTGCCTTGGGCGTCAGCAGGTCCACACAATAAAGTATTCGATCAGACTGTAAAGCTTACGACAAATGTGTAAACCCACTCTGTGCTACCCTCACGAGGGGCACGTTACTAGCCTACGGGCAAAAGGATTTTGTGAACTAAATATACGATATGCACGCGCCCGGCCTCAAGGGGCTCGGTAACGCGTGTTTATAACAATCAGTTGAATGAAGTCGGGGTATGCGGCAGTGGACGGGTCGGCCGTCTCACACCATCAGACTTCGGCCAAAGAACGAAAGTTGATAGACGAGTCGGGGTCTGCGGCGGTGGACGACAGCTAACGCCGTCGGGTATACCGTCTCACACTATCCGATATCGGCTAAAAGAACGAAGGTTGATAGACGAGTCGGTATTAATTTCGAAATTAATCGAATATTATAACGTATCTACCATAATCAAGTCTCACCCTGCGACAATATAAGATAATCGTTTTCGTTGAACTGTATTCGTTTGTCCTAGCGTCCTTTTTTATGCAGCTGAACTCTTGACATATTTATCCTCCCTTCTCAGCTTAAAGATTAGTCTGATTTTTGGTCATTTCTAATATGATGATCAACGGTAGCATAGCCGTTCATCATTAATTTTGCTTCACTTCTCAAATTTATATTGGGATTGACAACAATGTATTGCGGGCATCTCCTACTATTGGCATACTTGAACGCTCAACGTCCAGTGCCAATTCCTAGCTGTATGGCCATTATTGTGTAATACTATTTTCCGAATTACTGAGCATCGGTTGCCAATTTTGTCGCGATTTGACATATTTTTGCTTGCCAAAGACACCTGATTGTGCGTATTAAGAAATGTGTGATGCCACGAGCGGGATTCGAATCCACGATCTTCGGCTAGATACGCCGCTGCTCTACCATTTGAGCTATCGTGACCTCGATCCACTCGGACACCAACCTCGTATCTCAACCCCACCAACCTCTCATCTCAACCCCAGCTTTTGAATTTTGGCAAAAAGGAGGGAAAATTCAAATAGTAGAGTTGAGATGGGAAGTTAATGCCTCAAGTGGTAGAGCAGATCTAGCCGAAGATCGTGGGTTCGAATCCCGCTGGTGACACTGATTTTTTATCTCAACTAAAATCTTAATTAATTGAATTGGTCAAGCGGACCACGAAACTAGTGAATTTAACTATTCCCAATGTAAAGTTTCCTTAGGTTATCACAAATTTTAAAGTCATTTGCAGATTTTCAATCAAAATAAGCCAATACTTAACAGTTTATAGATTAGGTTAAAATGAAAAGGCATGTTTTTTTTTTTCATAAGTCATATAAAAAGGTTGGGAATCGTGCGGAATCGTACAATCCCTTCGGCCCTTCTGGCCTCATCTATTGTCGAACTATAATTGTCGAGAGGTGTGGATCTGACGACCTGTACTTAATTGGTAACGTGGTCCTACCATTGGTACCGACCACTCCGGGATCACTAGTTTGACATTGTCATACACCGGCTGGACAGTGAGCTGAGTTAATTAAGCAGGCTACAAGTGGCCCCAGACCTCACCGACAATCATCCCTCTCCCAATGCTAATCCAATCCGACGGAAAATCGACCGTTCATTACGGCACTCCACAAAGAAAATAAAAACCCTTGTCAAAATCCCAGAAAATTAACCTGTTTTACGCTGTACAAATAGATAAACATTCTAAAGCCTTTAAAGACTCTGAAATCTTTGACAAAAACAGATGTGCTTTCAGCTAACAATATGGACAACGATTATTCAGAAACCGTGAGTTGCGGTCTGGTGTGATGTAGGTTTCAGAAAAACATTTTCTTTATTGTGCCAACGTTTCGATTTTCCCCTGAAGATGATCTCAAAAAAGGTCGAAACGTTGGCACGATAAAGAAAATGTTTTTCTGAAACCTACATCACACCAGACCGCATCTCACGATTTCTGAACAATCATCGATTAACGGTCAATAATCGCAACACAAAAATATGGACAACATTGGCCAAAGATGAGCTTTTTGGGAGCCGAACTCTCTACCGGCTAGCTTGGCCTTTACTTTACTGTACCTATTTGTATTTCATCTATTTTATTACATCCCCAACACTTTATAATGTCATATGGTACAATACATAAATGATCTTAACACATTTTTTCTTGGAGCCGAAATGTTCGTCTAAAATCATGGGTTTTTGTTCACCTTGTATCATCTTATTGCAGGTAAATTTCAGTTTGTCTATTCAATCGTTTTATTAAATGTTTTTGATATCATTATAGATTTTTTGTCAAATTTACATTTTTCTCCATCTAATTAACATCTTTTTTAAAATAATCCTTTCTCACTTAAATTAACCCTTTTTAATTACGAGTTGTCCACTTTTAAATGACATTTCTTACTTTAAACTAACCTTTCTAACTTCAAATAAACCCTTTTTAATTTCGAGTTAACCATTTTTGATATTATAATAAAAAAATTAATCCCAAATTTTAACTGATTTTAACTTTATTAATCCGTTCTTACGCTTTTGTTCGAGTTAGCCATTTTTAATTTCAAATTACATCTTTTTAATATTGTGTTAACTATGTTTAACTTCAAATTTTAACTTTAAATCAACTCGTCATAACTTCTTTTAAATTAACCATCTTTAATTGCGGGTTAACCATTTTTAATATTAAAATAAAAAAATTAAGTTCAAATTTTAACTTGAAATTAATTTATTAAACCTTTTCGTTCGTGTTAACTATTTTTAATTTTAAACATTTCTTAGTTCAAATTTTAACTTGAAATTAGTTCTTTCATACTTGAAATGAACCATTTTGTTCGTGTTGACAATTTTTATTTTCAAATTATACACCTTTTAACTTTGAGTTAACCATATATAACTTCAAATTTCAGATTTTAGTTCAATTTAGCCATTTGTCAGTTAGTGTTTATCATTTATAGTTTCAAAATAACTTTTTTAACTTTAAATTAACCGAAATGATAAAGGGTGGTTGACGTTGTTTCATCATTAAAAAAAAAGTTTAAATCAAACTTTTATTATTTCAAAATAACGATTTCAAATTTTAACTTTACATTAATCCTTTTTAATCTCGAGTAAATCATTTTTAGTTTGAAATTAACACTTTTTAATTTTGAGTTAACCGTATTCAATTTCTAATTTTAGCTTTAAATTAACTCTTTCTAAGTATAAATTAAACTTTTTTATTTCAAAACAACTTAAAATTTTAACTTTAAATTAACCATTTTTAATCTCTAGTAAACCAATTTTTAATTTTAACTTAACACTTTTTAATTTTGTGTTAACCGTATTCAATTTGTAATTTTAGCTTTAAATTAACTTTTTCTAATTATAAATTAAACTTTTTTATTTTAAAATAACAACTTAAAATTTCAACTTTAAATTAGCCATTTTTAATCTCGAGTCAACCATTTTTAATTTTAAATTGACACTTCTTAAGTTTGTGTTAACCTATCCAATTTCTAATTTTAACTTTAAATTAACTCTTTGTACGTATAAATTAACNTATATATATATATATATATATATGTGATAAAATTTAACTCCTAGAAGGTCATAAGATAATAATTAACAAAATTTAATTACCATACTAAAAATTATACAAAATTCAATATATCAACAACACTAAAATTGAATCTTTTATAACTGCTTTTTTCTCGTTTTTTGGATCTTTTACCTTTTTTGCGATCCTTATTTTAAATATGAAAATTTAACGGCAAAAAACGGGAAGATCTGGAAAGTGTAGAGTCATCCCTCAACTTCATTCAAGTTGATGTTTTTGACTATAAAGAAACTATTGAACCACCCAACCATATCTACTTCTTTAAAAAAATCATTTTAACAATTTTTAGTGATCATAACCTAACCAATCACGTACCAAAAGAATTTTTTAGAAGAGATAAAATTATTTTTTGGTTCGAAAACGTTTCGGTTTTGCTTAATTTGGCCGTTTAATGATATGGTATCCCATGGTTTTAAACAGTGATTGTAATTTGTAATTAGTTTTTTTGATAAAACGTATGAAAAATAATTACTTTTGAATATCTACTTACTACAATAAAACAGAACTTTTTTCTCCAAAAGTTAGAACAAGGGACCGAAAGATCCGGTTTGAGTCTAAAGATACTAATAATATAATTAATTAGATTAATTATAATTTGTGTAATCCTTACAATTTCTACTCGGTGAGGTGACGAAATATCAACGTCAGGACATTTTAGGCTAATTAGACCGGCCATTTTTAAAATGTACACCATTTACTTTTCTCTGCAAGCCGAAATGTTCGCGTTCAGAAGAATCTGAATTAACCGGATGGAACAGCTATAGAAACAGATTTCGTCCCTGGAATTAAAATCGTGGAGAGCGGGTTTTTAACATCGGTAATCGTTTCATGCAATTTACACTTGGGCGGTGGGTAATTGTTTCGGAGTCGGCGAGCTGTCAGTTGCAAACCATCTGGCTCCGTGGACTGTAATGGGAAAACACGATTTGCCCAATTAATAAAGCTGCGGGGGGGAACACGCTCGTAATGAATAAATACAGAAAAGAGAAATGCCATCCCTGATAATAACCGATGATGGAAGACTTTGTGGCTGCCGGTTTTTTTAATCAATGTATAATGGCTTTGTCTCAGTTACTAATAATTTTGTCCTCAATATAACTTTGATTCACACAATTAAAATGTTACGCAAGTTTTAACATAAACAATTACATAGAGATCGATTAGTAGGTAATAACACTTTTTGCGCACTACATAATAATCACTATTTTTGGCCAGGGGAGAGTCAAGCAAAGATTCCAACCCTTTAACTACTGTAACCTAGTATACAGCTGTTGTGAAACCTCACTATTAAGGCCA